TCTGAGGTCTGTTCTTAGGTCCCTCCCTGCTCTGACATTCCCTGTTCTATGTGCTAAGGTTCCTTCTGCTCTTATATTCTGTGTTCTGTATTTGCCCCATATTCCATGGAGGGGTGGGGGGATTGGAATGGAGCAGAATGACTATTCTGGGCAGACAGTGGAGTAAAGAGGGAGAGATTTTGAGAGTCTTTTAGGAACTGAGTGCTGGCAGTACCCAACCAGGAACCTGAGAATGACCCCCACACTTCCCCCGCTCTGGTCTCCTGCCCAGATCAGGATAATCTCATTCTATCAGCCTTGAGCTGTACTTTGTCAAAGGGCACCCCAGCCCTAATGGCCTCCCGGGTTCATATGGTGCCAGGCCCAGACCTGAGATCTGTCCCCTCAGAGGGGAGGTGAGAGACGTTTTGCTAAAGAAGGTCTTCATGCCCAGCTTGGTCCAGAGCTCTGGGAGGATGGGGTAGGGGTGGGGAACACTGGCTGGAGGAGGACTCTCAGATTCGTGGGCTCCCGAGCCAGACCAAGGCAGGTCTCAATGTGTGCTGCCCCCTGCCCCAGGCACCTCCCCTTCTCCTCTGAAGCCACAGCCACAGTCTGAGCAGGGCAAGAAGGGCAGGACTGGGGAGAGACTTCTCCCCCCACCTGCCCTTCCTCCTCTTCGCCTCCTGCCTGAGATCTGGCCAGGTTTCCTAGCGGGACAGGTGTCCCCACTCCCAAGTCCCCTCCCCCCAGGGCACTACTGGGACACAGCTCAGTGGAATCCACATTCCTTTCTAGGCTGTGGCCTCCACCCCCATCCTCTCCGCCCGCCGGCCCCCCCGCCCCCCCCACTTTTCACATGCAAACTCTGCTCCTGTCCAGTAATTTCCCTGCCTCCCGAGGCTGTCTCCTTTGATCCCTTTGGCCAGGGTCAGCAGGCCCCGAGAGGCCCCGCCTCCTTGCCTGTTTGAGGGGGGGATTGGGAAGGAGCCCGAGAGCTGGGGACGGGATCTTTTGTGCCTGCGAGTCAGGGTAGGGGGGGAGATTGCCTTTCCCCAGCCGCCCCCCACCCCAGCTGCCTAGCTTGAAGCTTTGAGCTGTGAGATTTGGGGGGCGCGGGGAGAGTTTAGCCCCAAGAAGTGTGTTGAGTTGAAACCAGGTAAATGGGAGGGGGGAAGGGGCGCTTCTTGGGTGGCCTTCCAGGGAGTTGCATTCCTCAGCTGGGCCGTCCCCCTGCCTGGAGCGGGGTGCATTCATGCTCCCCGCACTTTTCCAAGTTAGAATGGGGGGGAGTTCCTGATCCCCAAGCCTGGAGCTGATCGGGCCCTCCCCCCTTCCCTCTTCCAGGCTGAGCGGAGTCGAGGTGAAACTTGAGTCAAGGTGGCTGGGCGGGCAGGCAGGGCGGGAGGCGGGGCAGGATCCTGCCTGGACGGGCTGAGCGCTTTCAGGAAGAATCGGTGGTGCGGCCGGGCGGGCCGGGCCGGACCGGGCAGGACAGGGGACGAGTGGCGCAGGTGAGAGCGGGAGGGCGCCCCGCGGAAGGACCGGCCGGCCGGCCGGCCGGGCCAGTGCTGCCTCGACGGGGCAGCCGCGGCCGCGGCACCGGGCAGCCCCAGCCCCAGCCCCCGCCCCAGCCCCAGGCTCGCTCCTGCCTCCCTCCCTCCCCTGGGTCTAGGATGCCGCCTGCTGCCCCGGGCCGGGCCGTCCCGCCCTGAGCTGGCCATGCTGCCCCGGGGGCGGGGGCGGCTGAAGGCGCTGGGGGCCGGTCTCCTGCTGCTGCTGCTGCTGCTGTCCGGCCTCTACCTGCTCAGCGGGGACCTGGCGTGTGAGTTGGTCAGCGGGCCAACGGGAGGGGGGCTGCTCTCCCAGCCAGGACCCCGACGCCGACCCCGTGTCTCCCCCGCCCCCCTGCAGATGGCCGCCTGCTACTGCCTTCCCCTTGCTCCAGAGGGGCCCCTGCAGGACTGGGGGCTCAGGTTCGGGCTGTGGAGGAGGAGAATCGGCAGCTTCGGGAGGAGCTCCGGCGCTGGGGGGCCCTGGGGAGACTCCCGTCGGAGCGCAGTGGTGAGCGCGACGTGACGTGGGGCCGGACGGCCTGTAGTCAGCAGCCCACAGTAGGGAAATGCGAGGTGAGCCGGACCCCCGGAGCCCAACAGATGTTAGAGTCAGGACTTGTCCTAGCGGCCCATCCTAAGCCACCTGCCCAGACTCACCCACTACCTCGACAGGGGGTCGTGCCATGTGGGAGAGAAGCAAGAGGCCCTTTGCATTATGATCGCTCTGGAATTAGTTCGCTGTGCCACCTCCTCTGGCCACCCTGCCCTAGCCTCAAACCAGGGGGCTGTCCCAGATCAGGGATTCTTAACCCGGGGGCCCATGGGTAGATTTCAGGGGGTCTGGGAACTTGGGTGGGAAAAGTTACACCTTTATTTTAACTCACTTTGGGGATCTTTTGTAATCATTTTATGAATTTAAAAACGTTATTCTGAGGAGTTCCTAGACTTGCCTGCACACAAGGTTGAGAGCCTGGGGCCTCTAAGGGCCCTTCTGGCTTCGACTTTCTGTGATTCTAAGATAGGATCGTTTTCTATTCCCCTTCTCTCAGTCACTCCAGCTAGTCTCACTGGAGCCTCCAAGCTCATCTTTGCTAAGCTGTGACCCCCCACTACTCCCCACTTCCCACTCCTGTCTTGGGAGGCAGGAGCTCACTGGTTGGGAGTCAGAGGACTGAGGCCACATCTCAGCTCTAAAACTGACCATCTGGTGTAACCTCTCTGGGCCTCAGTTTCCTCATCAGTCGACTGAGGGGTTTGGACTAGATGAACTCTGAGCCCCTCTCCCCCTAGCCTAGTAGGGGACGCTTGCCTGCGGGACCAGATGGGAGGGGTGCATAGGACCTAGGGTGCATGTCTCCTCTTTGCCCCCAACCCTCCAGCTCCTGCACGTGGCCATCGTGTGTGCCGGGCACAACTCCAGCCGGGATGTGGTCACTCTGGTCAAATCCATCCTCTTCCACAGGTACCTCTCCTTCCTCACCCCACCCCCCAAGTCCTGGGACCCCTGCCAGGAACAGTAATGAAGCAGCTTAATGCTGGTGAGGTTACAATCAATTTACTCCCAGAAGCCTGGGGGGCTAAGGAGGGTTGGGCTAGCAGCTACCTGGGGCCCTCTCAGCCAGAATCCCCCCACCTCCCATCCCCAGGAAGAACCCGCTGCACTTCCATCTGGTGACAGATGGTGTGGCCCGAAACATCCTGGAAACCCTCTTCCACACTTGGATGGTGCCCTCTGTCTTCATTAGCTTCTACGATGCTGATGAGCTCAAGGTAGGGAGCCCCGATCCTGCCCTCTCCCTGCCCCAATATTGTCTGTACTCCCTTTCAATCTGATCAGCATTTTGAACTGTCTACCCCATTCAGGGAGGTACAAAGAGGAAACAAAAAATGGCTCTTGTCCCCTGGGAACTGACTCCTCCCCCAGCTGGAGCTTTCTCTTCCTCCTCCCAAGTTCTGGGGCTCTTCCTTTCCCATCCCTAGGGGCCAGCAGCCTGGGCTTGGCCCTGGCCACGTTTCTTGGGGGCAGTGTGGTGTAATGATTTTGGTGAGAGTGCACCTGGGTTTGAGCTCTGACTCTGCCTACTAAGCTAGCTGGTTGACCTTGGACACGTCATCCAATGGGCTCCTAGACTTGGGAGCAGAAAAGGACCCCAGAGGTCAGCTAATCCTTCCTGCCCCCACCCTCCCCACCTTGATGGACGGCTGGGGGAAGTGAGCCCCGAGAGGTTGAGGGACTGAGTTGGTGGAAGTCACCCAGTGGCGGAGAGGGTATTCTGACCTGAGCGGGACCCCCCAGTCTAGTGACCTTCCTGCTGTATGTTGCCTCATCTTGTCAGTCAGTGCTGGAGTAGAGTAACACAATTCAGCCCCACAGGTGACCCCAAATCCTTTCGCTTCAGGATGGTCTCAGAAAAGAGGTGTCTGGTTTTCTAGAATCAGGCAGGCCAGCAGCATCATCTCCTGTCTCTCTTCTCCAGCCTTCCCCTCCTTGTCCAAGGGGCCTACCCTCCACCCTCTTTTTTTTTCCTTTTTATTTATTTATTTTTCAACATTCACTTTTATAAGATTTTGAGTTCCAAATTTTTTTCTCCCTTCCTGCCTCTCCAAGATGGCGAGCAATCTGATATAGGCTATACATGTACAATCATATTAAACATATTTCCACATTAGTTGTGAAAGAAGAATCAGAACCAAAGGGAAAAACCATGAGAAAGAAAAAAAAAGAAAAAATAGTATGCTTGGGTCTGCATTTAGACTCCATAATTCATCTATCCTCTCTTCCCGCCTTAGCTTAGGTGCAGTGATTCCCCTCACTGGGCCTCCATTCCCCAACTAGAAGATGAGGGAATGGAATGGAGGGTTTGGAATAGAGGGACCTTTGTCTCTTGCAGATCAGGCAGCCTCCGGGCTCCGGGTAAGGGAGGGAGAAGTGGGCTTATGCCTGCCCCCTGCGGCTCATCTCATCCCCTCTCCCCTATAGCCTGAAGTTGCCTGGATCCCCAATAAGCACTACTCAGGCATCTACGGGCTTTTGAAGCTGACCCTCCCCCGCGCACTGCCCCCTACCCTAGCCCGTGTCATCGTCCTCGACACTGATATCACATTTGCTTCTGACATCGCTGACCTGTGGGCTGTCTTTGCCCGATTCTCAGGTGAGGAGCCCGGGATGCTGAGGTCCCTCTTCCCCTGCCCATCCTACTGTCCAAGCCCTCTGACCAGGTGCCCTGTGATACCCCTCTTCTCTACGGCCTCTTCCCTCTCCCCCCAACCCCCATATATGACATTGGACATCTTGGACCCCAGTACTAGGAGGAAAGGGGAGAAGTCTAGCCCTGACTTTGAATAGGAGAATGTTCCCAAACCTGGGGCCAGTGGTAGTGGGGTATGGTCCCTGCCTCCTCCATTTCCTTCCCTGCCTATTTTTCCTCCCAGACAAACAGGTGATTGGGTTGGTGGAGAACCAGAGTGACTGGTACCTAGGGAATCTCTGGAAGAACCACCGACCCTGGCCTGCCTTAGGCCGTGGCTTCAACACAGGTAAGGCCTTCCTCTCTCTGGGCCTCAGTCTTCTCATATGAAAGAATGGGATAATAATTTTAACACTTCCCTGCCTCATTTAAAATACTACTGAAATGTGAGCTGCTGTTGTTATTAGGGTACCATATATGGGTATCATAGGACCGAATGGGAAGGACAGGAGGGGTCAGAGGTTTTGGAAATCCCCCAACCAAAGTGCCTTCCGCAGGGGTGATCCTTCTGCATCTGGAACGACTGAGGCAGGTGCGCTGGGAGCAGATGTGGAGGCTCACAGCTGAACAAGAGCTGCTGACCATGCTGGCCACCTCTCTGGCTGACCAGGTAGGGAGCAGCCCCTGGGGCCGGGCTGGGGGGGATCCCTGATCCACGGCTCCAGGTTGATGGTGAGGTGGGGGTGGGCTATCGATGAAGGTCTCAGGGGCCAAGGTGTCACTGCCGCCTTTCAGGACATTTTCAATGCTGTGATCAAGCAATACCCTTGGCTTGTGTATCCGCTGCTGTGTTCCTGGAACGTGCAGCTCTCAGACCACACCCGAGCTGAACAGTGCTACTCCGAGGTGTCTGACCTCAAGGTGAGTGCCTAGGGGGACACTCCCAGGGGCAGGGGCATCGTTCCCTGGATGGAGACTGGGGGCAGGACTGGGAGCCTCACAAGTTCCCTCCTGCCGTCCTCTCCCAAGGTGATTCACTGGAACTCACCGAAGAAACTTGGGGTAAAAAATAAGCATGTCGAATTCTTCCGAAATCTCTACCTGACCTTCTTGGAATATGATGGGAATCTGCTGCGGAGAGAGCTCTTTGGCTGCATTAGTGGTCCGCAGACTGAGCCAAGCCAGGTGAGACCCCCCCCCCACCTCTCCTAAGCAGGGGAGACAAGCACCCCCCTCAGGGTTGGGAGGATGGAGGCAGACACTAGCTCCCCAGGTGAGAAGGCACTCCCCCACTTCTGACCTGTCGGGGAAGATATCCCCCTGACCTCTCCGCTTCAGAGAGGCCCATGCTCAGGACTTTCTTCCCAACACCTCCTAGACAAGACAAGCTCTGGTGGAGCTGGAAGAGGATGATGCTTGCTACGAATTCCGTCAGCAGAAGCTCACCGTCCACCGTGTCCACCTTACCTTCTTGCCCTATGAGCCTCCTGCCCCCCACCCCCATGATGTCACCCTGGTAGCCCAGCTGTCCATGGATCGGTACGGGAGGCGGGGAAGGCCAGGGGCGGATAGAGGAGACGGGGGACAATGGGGTGGGGTGGGGGAGAGGCTTAAGGAGCAGGAGGGGTTGGGCAGCCATCCATCTCTGTGGGACTGATTTCCCCCTGCCTCTGGCTTCCCAAGATTGCAGATGTTGGAGGCCCTCTGCCGCCACTGGCCGGGCCCCATGAGCCTGGCCCTGTACCTGTCGGATGCGGAGGCCCAGCAGTTCCTGCACTTTGCGCAGGCCTCTGAGGTGCTGTCTGCCCGGCGGGATGTAGCCTACCACATCGTGTACCGAGAAGGACCCCTCTACCCTGTCAACCTGCTTCGGAACGTGGCTCTGGGCCAGGCCCATACTCCCTATGTCTTCCTCAGTGACATTGACTTTTTGCCAGCCTACTCCCTCTATGACTACCTCAGGTACCAGCCCCTTCTGGATTCCTCATCTTGGGGAAGGTGAGGCAGGAGCCAGGGGGAGCAGTGAGGAGTTAGGCTAAAGGGCTTTATGGGCCCTTCCGGCTTTTCATAGTTCCATGATTCCAAAAGTCATGTTACATGGGGGGCCTCGAGGACAGGAGGGAGGGGGAGAGAAGGAAGGGTTTTCTGATGGGCAGGGAGGCTGAGCTGAGATTTTGGGTTTGTGCTTTAGGGTTACAGAGCATTTCAGATGCGTTATCCAGGTGTTTGATTATGCTTGGCTGGGATGATATGATACCCATTTTCTAAATGTTGAAACTGAGGCTCAGGGAAGGGAGTGACTTGTCCAGTCACATGGCTGGCTAGGTTCTGAGTCCTGGCTCTTTTTAGAAAACACATTTTATTGATTTAGCCTTTTGTCTTTATACCAGTGATTTCCTGTCACTCTGAAGACTTTGCTCCACAGTCTTTATTCTACTGAGACTGTCTGCTCTTTGCTGCTACTTCAAACCCCGCCAGGGCTGTCCTTTCCCGGGGTGGAGGGTGCCCCCTCTCTCACGTCCCTTCCTCCTCCAGGACCTCCATCAAGGAGCTGAGCCTGGCCACCCGCAAAGCTGCTCTGGTGGTGCCAGCCTTTGAGACCCTTCGCTATCGACTGAGCTTCCCCACCTCCAAGACTGAGCTGCTGTCCCTGCTGGACGCTGGCTCCCTCTACACCTTCAGGTGGGACCCCTCCCCTCCCGTCCCCCTCCACCCCATCTGTGATAGCTAACGTGACCCATGTGTCTGCTGGGCCTCACAGGTACCACGTCTGGCCCCGAGGGCACGAGCCCACCGACTATGCCCGTTGGCGGGAGGCCCAGGCTCCCTATCGTGTGGAGTGGGCAGCTGACTACGAGCCCTACGTGGTGGTCCCCCGGGATTGCCCCCGCTATGACCCCCGGTTTGTGGGCTTTGGCTGGAACAAGGTGGCCCACATAATGGAGCTGGACGCACAGGTAGGTGGGAGAGGCGAGCCTGGATCCTCCCTCCCTCCCTCCCCTCAGACCCATCCCACCAAGCCGGAGGTGGGACCCCTTAGATTCTGGGATGTCTGAGCTGGAATGGCCGTCCAAACCTCTCATTTTACAGATGAGAACCCCAAAGGGTCAGTGCAGTGGCTAAGAGGAAGGAGAGGCAGGCTCCTGACCTCCAGCCTTGTGGGTTCTCCACTATCCCCTCGGGCAATGGCCCTCTCTGCCTCTTCTGCAGGAGTATGAGTTTTTGGTTCTGCCCGAGGCCTTTGCCATCCACTTGCCCCACGCACCCAGCCTTGACATCTCCAGGTTCCGATCCAGCCCCACTTACCGCCTTTGCCTCCGGACCCTCAAGGACGAATTCCACCAGGACCTGTCCCGCCGCTATGGCTCGGCTGCCCTCAAGTATCTCACAGCCCAGCGGCAGCTCTGAGGAGGTCTCCTGGCAGCACCCTGAGAGGGCTGGGCTAGGTCCTGGGTAGTTGACTGCCCAGGGGAGGATTTGGAGGCTGCTGAGTCCCTCAGGAAGGACTTCCTACTAGACGCTCCAGACACTGGAATGAGGCCTTGGGTCCTAGGGTGTCTATTTAAGTTATTTAAGGTGATTTGAGTGGTTCCGAGGCTGGGTGGGAGGGGCCACCTGGGCTGTTACTGCAGCTCTCCCTGTCATATATCCAGCCTCACTGCCACCAGCCATGATGGGGCTGGCCTCCCCACTCTGTACTGGACTTTTGTAATTAAAGCAGTTTTTTTATTCTTTTCACGTCTTCTGGTTTCTTGGGGTCAGAGGGCCCTGTGGGAAAAGTGTTATGTGTGGGAGGATAGGCAGAGGCAGGGAGGAGTCACCAAGACCCCAGGCACAATTACATAACCAAAGGGAATCTGAGAGTTTGGAGGGGACCTCCAACCTCCACCCTAGGAGTCCCTTCCCACTGGAGACCAGTAACCCACAAGTGGTCTTGCAGCCTGTTTGAGGGCTTTCGGCAGAGGCAATACGATGGTGCCAGAGGCTGCATTTGGAGTCAAAGGATGTGGGTCTGAATCCTGGCTTTTCACTTAGTCCCAGGGTGTGACCATGGGCAAGTCGGGGCCTCAGTTTCGTCATCTGTAAAATGAGGAGGTTAGACTAGATGGGCTCTAAGATTCCTTCCAACTCTAAAGCTGGGATCCTGGTTCTGCCCAAGTGCCACGCCTCCCCTTCTCCAAGCCCTTCAAATACTCTAACATGCCTCTCTTGAGTTTTCTCCAGTGCCTTCAACCATCTTCTTTAGCCTTTGATTAGATGTGCCTGGACTGGCCCAGGAGTCACCAACCCCGCCCCCCCAACCTGGTGCCCAAAGGGCAAAGCAGTCCAGGCTGGGGCAAGCAAACAGATCGCCTGACCAGAAAAGAGTGAAAGGAAGAGGGCAGGGGCATCTTTGGCTCCCCTCACCCCAAACCCCAACATAGTGAGGCCAACACCAGACTTAATTTTGTTTTATTTAGTAAAGTGTAAAAATAAATACAAATTTATCAGCTGCCTTCTGCCCTCCCCCCCCCCTCCACAAAAACCCAACCCTCAACAAAACACTTTTAACCTAAAAACCTACTGGGGGTTCTACAGAGACTGAAATCACAAGGGCTCAGAAGTCAGAGAGAGGGCCAAGAATGAATGTGGCTACTCACCACCGCCGAGTTATATTCCCACCTCCGCCCCAAAGTCAGATTTTTAACCTCAGTCCCCAGCTCGGCCTCTCGCATGTTCAGAGGCCAAGGCTGGGAAAGGGGAATTGGAGGAGATGACAATGCCAATCATGGTGGCCTTGCTGGAGGAAGCACGTCACCCCGGGCAGGTCATTTCATAGGAACATGCCTTGGTTTTCTCAACCTCAGGAAGAAATGACTGGCCTAACTGGCTGGTCATCTAGAGGTCCTATCCAGCTCAATATCACATGATCCCTTAAGACTGGCGGCCAGGATGCATTGCAGGGAGAGGGGTCCCTGTGCTGGATGAGAGAAGAGTATTCTACAGCCCTGGGAACCAGGGCTTTTCAGAAGACCACTTTACGCCCTAAGTTACAAAAAATAAAATTTGTCACCATGCATCCACTCTGTTGGGATTTGGGCATGGGGAGAAGGTTATCCCACCGCCTCCTCTCCCTTCACTTTACAGCTGGTGAGTAGATCATCAGCAAGAACGAGGATTCCCTTGCAGATGACCCCAGACAACTCAGGTATTGACGCTGGGGACCTAGGAGAGCCTGCCCGTTTGTGGGTCAGGCTCAGATCCCTTTAATCTCCCAGAGGGCCATCTTCACAAGGATTCCTGATGACTTGGGGATTTAGCGTGGACTCACTTTGAAAGCCTGGCCTCTCTCTGTAGCCAGATGTTGAGGCAGGACTAAGCCACCATGTGCTACCAAGCATCCCATAAGAAGCAAATCTTTCAGACGTTTCTTGGATTCCTTCTTGCCTTAGTCCTGGTGGAGCCCCTTTCCCTGTGTCCTTTCTACAGTGGGCAGGCTTGGGTGCCTGCCTGGAGTCAAGGCACTGTGGACAGGCAGAAAACTGATGAAATCTGAGAGGCAAAAACCCAAGAATGGGGTTGGGGAGAGCTGGAGAGCTTGACGGAGTGACCCACTGACGGAGGTGGCCAGCAGCACAGGGAGCAAACTGCCCATCAGTAAAGACCTTTGGGAACTACTGGGTGACACCAGAGAAATGCTAGAAACGTTCTTGAGAGGGTAACTGAGTGATCACCCAGCAGAACCAGGACTAGATGTTTTGAAAGGCAATGAGTAGGTGGAGGCAAATTAGAATAAATCAACCTTCTGGGGATGAAGAGAAAGGGGAAGGGGAAGGTGAGACAAGGCTGAACTGAAAGAAAGAGAAAAGTCTAGGGGCTTAAAACCAGGAGAGCCCTCCAGGTATTAAGAATAACTGGGCTAGATTAGAGGGCCTCCAGAAGGCGGAGGCAGCTGGGTGGAAACGTGACATCACTGCCCCAAGGCTGTCTACCTGAAGCTTGGCACCTTCACTTGGGAGTCCTGCCCTGGCGTGTAAGGGCCCCTGAGGATAGCTTCCCTCCCACGCCAACCTAGGCAGTTTGTCCAGGTCTTTACCCCTCTTCCTTGCAATTTTCCTTCTGATGCAAGAGGAGACAGACATCCTAGACCTAGGGGACTGTCCCAGCTGAGGGAGGGACGCAGCAGCCAACTGCAGAAGAGGAGGAGGAGAGAGAAGTCTGCAGGAGTGCTGGCAGAAGGCAGAGGATGAGAAGTGGGGAGGTGGGGGTCAGAGGAAGAGGCTGAGAGGGTGAGCGGCTGCCTCCCAAGTCCTGAAGCCACAAGTTTAGGCTTGTGGGGGGATGCGGGCAGGGAGGGGCCTTCCTGATGCTTACTGGTCTTTCTTTGACAGCAGAGTGGCATTCTAGGACCTAAGCGCATCCTTCTTACTATCCTGTAACTAGTGTTATGTTTACACTTAGGAAAAAGATAGCTTGGGGATGATTTCACGTCCTAGTCTGCACCTGGCTTACATCCCATCCGGCCCATCCCATTCTGACAGTACCTTTGAAACTCCCCAACACCTTCCTCACCACGGAGCACTCACTCCCAACACCTCTCTCGGAGTAAAGGCTTTTTGAGTAGGGTGAATGAACCCAAACGGGTTCCCATTTTGCAGCTACTTTTAAGAAATTATAATACACACTCCTGAGTAGCTCAAAGAACCCAGGCAAGGCAAAAAGAGCCCCTGTCACAGGGATAGGGGAGAGACCACAGCTGGTCTGGGAACCTCAGCCAACTATTTCTGGGACAAGCCTGAGCTTCTCCCAAAGCTCCCTTGTTTCCAAGGGAAGGGAGGGCCTGGGTCTCCACGATCTCAGCTTTGGAGCTGGGTGGGGATCCCTCCATCCTCCTCGCCCCATCCCTACCAGGTGCTGACTTTGAGCCTGAAATACGGCACTTAAGCCCACAATACGGCACTTGAGCCCCTCTGTCTCCCAGCCTAAGCCTTTAACCCTTCCTCTGAAGCTTCTGGGGAGATGGGCAGGGGCTCAGGATACCGATGAGACATGGATTTCAATGTTGACGTCGGATCTCATCTGAAGGGTCCTTTTCACACTGCCTCTGCACCCTTACAAGTGGAAGGGAAAGGCTCTGGCTAACAGCTTTTCATGGCCATGACTGGGGGTCCAGCTGCTGCCTGCAGTAGGAGGTGGGGCAGCAGGAGGGTGAGGAAAGATGACCGACCAGGTTCCCACGTGGGGAATTCTTAACCTGGCAGGGATGTCTCTCTTCTGCTGGGCAGTCAGATGGAGCCCACTGTAGGAAAGCTCTCCAGATACACACAAAGCGGACACAGCTCTGGGGTGGGGTGGGGGAGCACACTGGTCCGTGGGCATCCATTCGCTTCCCCAAGGAGAGCCACTCAAAGTGTCTGTCCACCAAGTAACTACCATGGTTTTCTCAGGAAGGGAAGAAGCAAATAGAACTAAAAAAGCAACATAAAACCAATGCCAAATGATCTTCTGGCCAAGACCTGTCTGGGAAGACAACAGCATAGAATCTATTCCCTTTTCTCTACCTGGGATCCAACATGGATGGAGACTCTCTCAAAAGGCAGGTGGGTAGACTTCCCCTGGGACTTTGCGGGGCACCAGGGGTTGATGCGGTCACCTGGGTGGGCCAGGAGGGGAGGACAGGCCTAGTTACCCTTTAGGTGCCCTTGGGGGAAACCCTTGCAGACGGTTTCTCTTTGGCCTCCAATCATCAATGAGAGCACGAGGTGGGGACCAAGTCACAAAGAGATGGATGGTCGGGGTACGGGGGCTCTAACTCATCTGCCTAGAAACATGCCCACCGCAGAGCGGCCTCGTGGGCAGCAGATGCTGTGCTCAAAAATTAGAACTACACAGTCTTCTCCAGTTCTGACGCCTTTTTAATAGAAATCACTGTTTTTAGGAAACAAATAGCACTTGTGTAAATTTTTTTACAATGTTTCTTACCTTGATCTTAATTTAAGTAACACTAGGAAGACCTCAATAGCTTTTATTTTCCTTTTTAATTTAAAAAAAAGTTGTTGTCGTTTTTCCCCAAGATACAAAGATTTTGCCCTTGCATAAAAAAACAGTGCCCGAAACGATGACACGAGGACTCACAAAGACTCACTGCATCTCACTGACACTAGGACTCCTAATCTATACCATGCAAGGTCTCATCTACCCCGTAATTGGACTGTCAGCCTGAAAAACAGCGCTTCTATTCCGTATTTTAGTTTTTGTTACAAAAAAAGTAAAAGAAACATTTAAAAAAAAAAGAAAAGAAAAAAAAGAAATGTCTCTGTTAAGTTTCACACATCTGGGCTGTGGGGTGCTTTGCTCAGGCTCTTTCCACTTTATAAATATAGAGAAGGGATGGAGCTCTGTTTTCAAGTAAAATCACCCTTTTGCCTTTTTCCTCGGACCTCCAGCACCCCCGGCAGTGGCCCTGGGCACCGGACTCTGAGGGCCCCCTGCTCTGCCCCCCCCCCCCCCCCCCCCGAAAGTGCAGCTGGCCCCGGGGCAGATCCAGGGCCAGCTCATTCACCAAAGCGCTTGGGGCTGCTCCGGAAGGACTTGGGGGGAGCCTGAGGTGGTGGGGCTGGGGGTCACCCGCCAAGGTGGGAGCTGGGTGCTCAGGGAGAAATAGACCCGGGAGCCCTTGCTGTGGCCATCTCCTGGCACCCGTCCCCTCTCCCTCTGCCACTGATATTAAATACTGCTTATTTGATATACTTTTCCCA